TGAGCAACTTTTTGAATGTACGTGATGAGTTTTGGGTGTAAATGGATATCAGCTAATTGTTTACTATATTGGATTCCAAAATCCCTCGTCCACTCCCCTCGGTTAAGGCCGCAGCCTCCAAGAGAATCCTGCGCTGGATCGCAAACTTACCAAATGGGAGCATATGATTGGTTCACGTCAAACACGCGGTGATGCCGAAGGGGCTACCGGTCGCAAATGGACCGGCGGTGCTCGGGGAGAAGGCCATGCGATCATACTACGTTCCGGACCGGGTGCGGGCGGAGCAGCTGTAAGCGCCACTAAACCGGTTGCCGGTGTTGGTCCCGGTCGNCCCGGTCGTGCTCCCGGATCAGATCCCACATCGGTGCTGCAGGGTATTGGCCCGATTTTCGGACCAGAGACCGAATTCATTGAGGATCGGTTTCACGAGTTGGGCAACCAACTTGGTCGATTTGTTGGTATGGAAGAACGGTTGAGTAAAATGGTTCAGGGAGCAAATCGTTTGGTTCAAATGGTCAAACAGATTACTCAACAGCAGAAACAGGTAAGCTGTATGCGAGTGGTTGATGCATCTCCGGTGGTGTGCTGGTTTACAGTATCGGTTATCCGTTACACCGCGGTGCGGGTATACGAAGCACACTTTACCTATAGGAGCAGACAGTAAGAGTGACAGAAAGGAACAGAAACAAGTGAATCGAACTGTGCACCGTTCTGGTGGAGTCCACACGAATACGATAAGCGGACGGACGGCTGACTGAGAAGAAAATTGGAGAAAGAAAATCCCGGAGAACATAGACTCGATGAAAAACTGAAATAGTTGGCTGAACTTACTGACTAAACGGTGTAGAAAACAAATGGACGATCGGCACAGCCAACACTGATCGACCTCTTAATTGCGGCTGGAACTCAACTGTTCTAGTGCAGATCAGGTTATGTAACCCATACAATCAACCACCATCATTGGGATGTGTTCTCCGGCAAAACCCACACATTCTCTCAACCAGAGTTTAACCTAAGAGTTCTTCCTAACTAGACAACAGTTCCCTTTCACTATGGGTCTCATTTTTTCTACTACTCATCTCAGACTGCGGTAGGTGATAGCCAAACTGTGAGCCTGTTCAGATCATAGACCTGGTTGACTAATATCCTCTGAGTCCTATTCACATACAAGCACAATCAGTGATTTCTTCACCTCGTAAAATGCACAAAGCGGTTAGTTCACTGGTCCCTAAGACTATCTGATTTCGCTTGTCACCCTTCCCTCCTCCCCATGCTGGAACACAGATCCTAAACAGTCTCACCCAAAAAGACGGTCGACGATTGGTGGGCAGAGGTACTCGGGGTGCACATAAAAGTCTGCTTCATGAGGCGGTCATGAATGCCGTGATGGGCCTCGGCTCGCACTGCACGGAAATCGAGGAGAAGATTGAGGAGAAGTGAGTTCCAGTGATTGAAATTCTGCGCGCCATTTCACAATTAAGATAAAACAAGCCTTAAACTCAAATAGATCAGTATCCGACATCCAGCTTTTTTATTCTCAAAACGTAACGGCATATGGTTGTTGTCCGGAGTGTTTTCGGAATCCTTGTAAAATTGCATTTTTCTGTGCAGATGATTTACTAATCTAGTGAGCGTTTACTTCCGTTCGATACAGATAAGAATAGAAGAATACTGGATTAGAAAAGTGCAAAATCTATGCTCTCAAGTGCATTATCTTTGTATGAGTCATTTCTATTTCAGAGGACAGTTTTAGTCACACACATACACAATACGTTCGTATCTATCACTGTCAACGCCAACGATTACCGAGACCTCCGGGATGTATTGCTTTTGAAACGAAACGCAAACACTATGGGAGGGAGAAAACACAGAAAAATTGCTATATCTACTCAAACAACCACAAACTGACACAAAGTTGTGAATAACTTGCTAGCATGCTGCTCCTCCATAGACCTCACAGAGGCGCTTGAAAAACCGTCCGATTGTTCAATCTGAATGTCACTTATGAATGGACTGGACGTTGTTATTTATAAGTATCAGGGAAGATGGATAATGTAGCATTGTACACGATTAGGAATGGATTCGCTGATCGAAGGAGTATTTCAAAACCTTTATTCAGTTGGTACATCCGTAAACTCTCTTTTGAATACCAGGATTGCAGAGGAGTGGAACTGAATGGGTAGCGTCATGTTACACATACTACTGAAAAACCTTAGAATCATTGTGTACAGCCGTTGCGTTATTACTAAGTGCATGTCTGAAGGCAAGCTTGTGATGACTCAGAACCTGGACCGATATGTTTGTGGGTTACTTCCGTTACCATTAGGTTACCCGAACCGACTCCGGCGGTTACATTTCCGTCCGGGTTCAATTTTTTACTTTTTATTAGACACCTATGGGCAGCTGACAGGGCGAACCCCATAGTCACGAAAACCTGTGGTGGAAACCGGCAACCTAAACCGCGGGTCTCCGAGTGGCGAATCACATAAGCCCCCAATAGGTGGCGGGGCTCAAACCTCGGAACATAGGGTTCAAAGCACGCCGGTGTCAGCGACTAAACCACTGCACTACCACCCGTTGATGTATTGAATGATGTATTGAAGGACATTCCACGACGTCAATAAGTCATCGGTCGACTGTATGATGCGCCTTTTCTTGGTATACTAGTCCATCCCGATTGAGCGTCGAACCCGTGAGCATACTGCTTGAGTAGCAAGAAATCTGCATGAAATTCAATTACGCACATACTTTACTGATCGCCACCGACTCATCATTATAAATGTATTGATTCAAGTATGTTACAGTCCTACCAGTTTTCTGCTGTGTACGAAAAAAATCCTCATTGATTCAGGCATTAGTCAAACTATTCATCTATACACATAATTAAAGCACAGAATAGATTTGAATTTTTGTTGACCAAGCCGAACAGATTTTTGTATGATATGCAAGCATGAATAGGATATATACCGACAGTGAATCACTAGGTCGGTTAGCTATCAGTGTACTGCGCTAAGACTCTGGTGTTCCACGTCCATCTGGCAGAATCCGCATTGAGGAACAGTGCGTAAAAGCGGTACTCACTCGCACGAACGCGGAAGAAACTGAACCGGATATTGTATTGGAACCAAAACCGGGACCGCCAAGTCGCAGTCTTCGAGGGATGCCGACAAACGGTCGCATTCTGGAACGCTTGATTATCAGTCATCGATTGTGGCGAATTGTACCATTCAATTTCGAAATCTATCCGGGGATACGAATGAATGTTCCACCGGGAAAATTGAATTGGAAGGTTAGTCTCGGTGCGACTCCCGCCCCTCTCCATCCCCTACCCGACCCTGCTGCTCTAGCACATTTCCCAATGGTAAACGTTCACGTTTGTGGCTGGATCTTTTAGTAGTCAACAAAGAGCATCGTATAACTCGTTTGTTCTTCTATGAAACAGTCATTTGTTGCTCAATGTATGGTGATTCCAATACGTGGTTCCAAATAAAAAACCACCTAAAATACTGCCACCGCTGATGGTAACTTTGTTCCGGTTACACAAGGAAGATTTCCTAATCGGGATAAACCCCATCTCTCTCTCTTTCTCCCACGCAGTCAAAACAAGTCTAGGAGACCACGTGACTCTATTATCTGAATTCCCTCACTATTTCTCTCGCAAATTGGCGCTAATTCTCCTGTTTCTGTTTCATCACAGACGACTTACAATGAATATCGTACATTCAAAATCACCGAAGATCGCCTGGCCATTCCGTATGTGGGCATGGACGATGAGAATATGTAAGTTAAGAACAATTATTTGCTAAAACATTCCTGATCCATGTATTTCATCAATTAAAAAGAAAAATCAATAGTTTTTAAATCATGAAATATTCCCATTGATTAAGAAAACAAAATGTGAGCAAACAGATGTTTTGGATGATCTACTTTCCAAGCCCTTAAGACCAAATTTAAATGAAACAATTTCAGTAAAGTCAAATAGAAACACTATCTATTAGGTCAAAATTTTACTGTTCTCGTCTGGTTTATTTAGAAGTACCGTTGGAAAACTTAGTCGTGCAAACGACCAATCTCATTCCAAGATCTTCGGAAAATCTAGCACATTGGAAACCGACACTGAATACAGCATGCTTTCGTCACCGATGTTACCAAGTGCGTAATTGAAGACCGCGGAAGCAAAAACATAATGACACCCTAAAAGACCTACAACGTAACCATGAAATCCTCTTAAACAAACCTGGCATGGTGGTTATGGATAGTGCCAATTAAGTATCCAAAATGCCATAACTTCTATCCGATCAAACGAAGTTCATTTGCGATGAAATGCAGAAGGATTAAACGGGAAAAGGTGAAAAGCAAAGTACTGATACACCAAAGCGGCTTACGGATAAAGGCTGCACATCATCTTGTCTGTTTGAAGGTCTCGAACCCACTGGTTCTAACGTATCCCACTGATATTGTCAACAAACATTACACAAATCTAGTGTGCAAATGCGATTCATCATCTCTATGACATATCCACCTCATTACGCGACTGCCTGTTGGCTAGTTAGACTTTGGGAATCCATACGTCAAACAGTCGCCAATTGTATACGTGGAGACACTTTTCAGTTTGTTGAAATAATCAAAAACGTGAACAACAACAACCGACTGATGGTCTTTCGGATGTTGTTTCTCCCTTTACCAATGTTCTCTTATTAGAAACAGTTGATTTCATTTGTGAATGATAGCCGTGGGCATCCAAGTCAAACAACTCATACTTAAATGCACAAGAGATGTGCAATTTTTGTTTACAACACATTCAACCGACAAATCGATGGTATTGCAATGAATTCACCCCTTGGAGCTGTTCTTCTCTGGGCTTTGAACTCCGACACCCATTGCATGGCAGTCGCGTGTGCATGTTCTCTCGGGTTCATTACCACACATGATTCATACATCTTTCTGTTTGACCCAACTGAAATTATTTTACATAAATATGATTGTAAAGGCTTGGAAATAAATTTATCAAAAAACATAGGTTCGCTTACATTGTATGTTCTTACAAGTGAACAGTATAACATTGATACTTTCGTCCAATTCAATTCTTGTATGCCGGCGTTTACGATAAACAAATAAAATCAGACTACTTGATCCATGTGACTGCAAATACGAAAAGAAGTAGAGATGACAGATTTGGTTAGAGGTCACCCGGGTCGAGCAAGGATAACTTTCATCAGTAAATGCGTGGTGAGTGCTAAAGCGAAACTTATGTGTTAAGGACAGTTATTTCCCGCTTATCTCACGGAAACTGCTAGTAGTTGAAATCCAAATCAACTGTGCTTTGCAACGCAGTCGCATCATGATTTTCTGTTCTGCTGAGCTTAGGTGATGTAACAGCAAGTATTTCTCCACCCGATATGCTATCTTTTTCGATGACCTCATCAGAGCAAGAGTATTATTTAATAAGTTGAATTAATCTGAAACCGTGTTTCCTTTGCCAGATCCGTCTCGCCCAATCCAAAGAGACAGACAAGAAGATGTTTGTGCGCCACGGTGAAAAACATTTCAAAGTCGTTCTATCATTCGATACATGTATATACTCCTTTGCGGTAGAAAAACCGTGACACACATACCCTGGTTAGAGATTTTTTTGTCTGAAACTGAATTGGTGAAGATAAATCCCGTGACTGGAACCAGTCAAATGAGGGATTCGTGCAGCAAATTTAGGGTGAAGTGCTTTCTTCTAAATTCAAATAAATTGACCGTTTACTAGTTTTTCATGCCAGATCCAACTATAAATGTGACTGTGTCCAGTGTAGTTTCGCAAGCATGTCACGGTTTATTCCGTCCCTCATCATCACTCAAGGTAAACCTCCGGCTGCGCTCAACGACCTCTGAATGGGCACAGCATTCAGCGGTTTGCAACAAAAATTCCGCAGTGAAATGGCCAAATGTATTTTGCAGAAAAACACTGCGCTTCGTTTATTATTTGCTCGAACACTTGTATTTGATGTGAGTGAGCTATCGTGGTTGGGGTGTGTACTGAATAAATTATGAGACTGTAAAAGGAGTGCTACACGGTGGTAGCATGCAGCAACGCACCTGGACAATCTACGGTAGTTCTTTCTTACGGTTCCAGTTTCGGAAAAGAATTAGTGGGTCAAGGCAGAACCCTTCCCAATACTGATGTTGCCTGCAGGGAAATTCTACACTTGTGCAACGGGGACCGACTTCGAAGAGGATACGTTTATTTGACTGTCTTAATGGTGAAACGCGATGGATCGAAGGCAATTCACGGTGGTGCCGAATGAATGCCACAACTTAGCCTCGATCGACTCCACCTAACTGAAGACAAGAACATACCACGATTCAGATTTGACAACTGTGTTGATGGTAACAGAGAAATGAAATGAAATTAGAAAGCAGTCCGGATAAAAATAACGCGTTCATCGATCGAACATGATCCATTGAAGTCAGACCGAACATGGCACGCTGTGGTTGCTCAGATGGAGACGGATGAGTAAACGCACTGCAAAACATGCGCAAATAACCCTTGACGGAGTTTATACTTGTTGACTACTATTTAGTCGCAGAGATGTTTCTCGCCTCACGCATGCAGACACATTAATACTACACTTTTCGGTAGAGCTAATCTGTCTCCCCCAAGCCGCGATTGCCTTACACTTGATCAGCTAAACAACGATGTCCAGCGTAAACATCAAATTCACGGTAAAAAAAGACTATTTAGAGACAAAAGGACTACGCGCACATGATTCTTCAAGGACATGAACACAATCGGTGCTCAAAATAGCAGATTTTCTTAGGTTTTGGTTAACCTTTGCTTGCATTTTATCTACTGTAATCGGAGATTGGTTGATGAGTCTTCAAACAGTTGCTTATCCTGGTTGTTACTTGAAACTTCAGTTGAATGTCTGTATTCTGATCTGATGACGTTTCTCAAGAGATATCCTTGAAAAGGTGTGGATGTTCCATTTTCCCCGTTCGCCGAGCTTGGAAATTTGTTTGCAAACGTTTCATCATCAGCCGAGGTCACATAATCAGAGCTTGTGAAGTGGTTTGATGATGTCACCTCGGCTGGTGATGAAACGTTTGCAAACAAATTGCCACGCTCGGCGAGCAGGTGAATAGGAATTCAGTTCACCTGAGCTACAAGAACCGATTTTCAAAACTTTATCAACAAATTTGGATGTCTCAGTCCAGCTACTCTTTGTAATTATCATACTTCAGGGGAACACAGTATTCATCCACTCTTGTATTCATCCGTGTTTCGTCCGATCATAACGGTTTATTGGGCGCCATTCAGAATTCTGCNATTCTGCTGCGCCTGACGGCATCGAATCATTCAAACTCAACACTGCACCACCACCCCCAGGGTCAGGATTGCCTATTCAATTACGCAGACTCTTGTGCATAGCATGTGTGTGCGAAACAATTTAATCGTGATGTTCCTATCGCGCAATTAGAACAATGCGATTTTTAAGCATGACAAATCGACAAGTGGAGGAGAGGAGAAAGAGGTGCACGTCCCAATAATGAGAAAAAACAAACAGTTTTTTCCTTGGTATTGTAGAATTTCACACAAAGAACTGATCCGATTAGGTTAACCCTAAAATGCTGAGAGTTAAGTAAGCACATTATACTCCATATAAACTCTGTTGTAATCCTACCAAATCATGTAGCTACTCTTACCCCGTTTTTTGGATAGCAACCCACCCCAATTGAGCTTCAACAGTTACGATCAAACAAGTGGAGTGACACGGATGACCTTGCGTGGACGAGTTCGAGTGTTTCAAACGACGGACATCAAACCAGACATGTCCGAACAGACACGGACATTGATTGGGTACCCGTTGAATCCTACCGGTCGTTCCGGTCTGCACGGCCGCGGTCTGTTACCACACTGGGGACCGAATCATGCTGTACACATTGCCCTGACACGTTTGCACCCGGACGGTCTGGTCCGAGCCGGTCTACCGGTGATCCAGGTCGCAGTACTGTATCGAAATCAGAATTATTGTTTACCATGGGTAAGTGTTTGCAACAGACTATCTGTGATATCTTCAACAGGAAGTATAGTATCCTCCAATAGCGTTTGAAATCAGCTGATTTTCGGTATTCGTGCCACAAGGAGCGATAGGTAAATGAAGAAAATGAGAACAAATATTGCAAACGCGTAATGATGCATTTTGGAATCTGGGTGCACTCAGACGACAGTGCAACTCCGGTTCTTTTGAAAAGAAGTAATTATAAAGTGCTCAAACTAAAATGGCAATCGTAAACCCGATCACTTTCTTCGGCAGGCGTTAGTCTCAGGTACGGGAACGGAGCACAGGGAGTATTGTGATCCTTGATTTTGTTATTCATGAAATCCAATCGGGTACTCACTGAAGCCGCACTTCGCGGGGTTTCGATTCAGTTTAACTGAAGTCGAATAACATTGGGGACATACTAAATTACTTCCGGCACAGATGAGCCATTTGTTCCCTCTACGCCAAACGTGATTCACCGCATAACCTGGGACATTCATGGTGATTGAGGGCCATACCATCTTTGATAATCTTGGCCCAACAATGGCAAATCCGTGAGCACCATGTGTTACCGAGCATTGTGACGAAACGTTGCTCTTCTTTAATTTGTCTCCCGTTGATTCTGCTCACTTTCCGCGGCAATCACACGGTTTACCAGTAGACCAATACAGAAGCGCGACAGCTATTAAATCGGAAGGCAAATGTGACTAGAAAACAAGTGCCCTATATGCATCATGTTCTTAACTCTCCAAAGAGTATCTTTGAAACAGTTTCGAATACCCATTGAACTGTATGAGTACAACTTTAGATGACACGAAATCAACGATTGTTTGAATTTAAGTTATCAAAACTTTCATCAATTATAATAGTTTTCTTTATCTATAATCATTCAGTGCACAGCAAAAGTACCATCGATATGCTAGAAACAGAAGGGGTGGGGGTGGGGTAGGGTAGGAGAGGGTGATCATCTATGACTATTTAATCACCGATTTGTCACCGCATCCGATGTGAATAACTAGGCGAGAATAAGAAGCATTATCTATTTGTTGTGTTTATTTTATTTTTCGTGTACGATTGCCGCCCGCCCCCCCCCCTGTTTGCCTCAGCTCAGGTCTATAACCTAAAATGTGCTAATCGCGGTAGAATAATCATTGGAAACCAGTAGTGCTCACCACATTCTATTTGGTTCAAACCTCGTGCTGACAGTCTATTGAAACAGCGAAAGGTTTTTGAAACAAACGAGCTAGAAACCAAGGTGTCAGTGACCAGATTAAAACCACGGGACGTCAGCTNNNGGTGGATGGTCGGCCTGGACTGATCGAGCACTTCAGATACTGCAATTCTATCCGGACAGAATACGTACCTTATTCGATGGGGAAATTTTTTATTCGAAAAACAACATGATTCGTTTGTGATATCTTTATCAGTACATTAGACTGTAATTTTACTGAATTGTAAGAGCGAAATAATATTTTGTTTAGAAAACTACCCGATGATTATGGCATGATACTCAAATCGAGTAA